GATTTGTGAGTATAGAATAGTACCCGGATATAGCGCAAACCATAGTACTCCCTTATTAAAATACCCCCTTCAAAAAAGACCCGGGTATAATTTATGCTTTATATTTAGAAAAATAAAGTTATACCAGCACTTAGCATTATTAAAGTTAATCACGATAAATTATCATGTAAGCATTTACTTAACAGACTGAATAATTCATGCAAAATTTACAAAAGCTTTAAAATTCTCATCGCTCATTAGGCTATTTCATTGATCATAAAGAAAATCCTTTTAAGATTGTTATTTTTTCAGGACCATCCGGATTGAATCCGAAATCTTTTTCATGAATCCGGTTATAATTCGAATTGAGTAAATTCGGATTTGATTCTCGAATTTACAGCTGTTTCATAAATTCTGGACAAGTGATAAAAATTTGGCCGAAATTAATTCTACCGAATTCGATAAGCTTTTGATTTCAGTGTTATCGGCACTTACCAAAATCAAAAGCTTATGTACAGAAATCAGAAGCTTATGTACCGAAATCAAAAGCTTATGTACCGAGATTAAAAACTCATTGAATTCGGCAGAATTAATTTCGGCCAAATTTTTATCACTTGTCTCAGAATTTATGAGAACGGCTGTAATCCGGAAAAATCAGCAAATATGATGATAAAATTGCTTTTCAACATTTTTTATTAGTACTAAGTAAGGTTAGACTCTCGTCTGTATTTTCTATCTTTTTCATTTCTTAATTGATATAAAAAATAGATCAGTAAAATTGGTCATTAAGAACTAGGATTCGCTTGATTGCTTAACTATTGACTTGTTCATATGATTAAAAATTTTATTATGATATAATAAACTTAATTAGCAAGGCTAAAATGCTTTGCTATCTGAACTGATAGATTTTTATTAAATTTAAAGAAACAGCATCCAATTCTAATTGATCATGCTTTAAAGTCACAGCCGGGATGTTGTTATGCTGATAATATCGTCTAATGCAAATACAAAACTAGACCATAGTTCTAATAATATTACTAATAATTAATAGAAAGTGTCTTAGTAAAATTAATCAAACTAATTTAAGTTATGAAATTAAGCATAATACCAAACCAATTTTAAAATAAGGAGCGCCAAAATAATGAGAATTCTCAACACCATTGATCTTAACTGTATAAAATGGTATGAAATCTTCGAATGATACAGCTAAATATATCACAACCTTACATAAAAGTTAACCTTTATTACAACGATGATTTAACCATGAAAAAGCATTCTAAATTTTTTGCAATTAGCTTTATTGCCTTAATAATAAATAATTGTCAATAAATTAATGAAAATAGTTAAAATATAGTCAAAATATATGCTATACAATACCTTGTTTTAACCTTCTAGCCGCATGATTTTTCATGATATAAAATATCCAAATTAAGATTATACTTATTTTCCAAGAATCTCTATTGATATTTCCCAACTTATTAACTGCCGATGTAATTACATGTTAGATGATGAAGAGAAAAAAAAAAAAATACATATATATATATATATATATTTAAAAAAAAAAAAAAACAAAAAAAAATATTTGATCTATTTAATCCCATTCATTAACGTAGTTAATCCCTTCTGTATTATAATAATCATCCTCATCGTTACTAAAAAATTGATCTTTGTCTTCATTAGTATGATTATATTCATCTTCAGTGATATGATTGTCGTCTTCACTTTCACTAGCATGGTTATATTCGTCACTATCAATCTGGCTATCTTCATCGCTAATTAAGTTGACTTCTTCTACCAAATCTAATTCAAGTTATTGTATTAATTTTAGGTTACTTGTAGTATTAAGCATTAATTAACATTTACATTTGAGATTTTACCTATATTGGCATTTAAGCTTTTACTTGTACCAACATTCAAATTTTCATCCATATTAACACTAGGACTTTCTTCTATAACGATACTAGAATTATCACTAATGCTGTTTAGTTCTTCATGTATATATATATGATTACGTGAATTTGTTTGTTGACCAAGTTGATCATAATCAAATATTAAATGGTCTTCTTTGCCATCCCGTGAGTTAGAAATTCCACAGCACTTAAAAGATTTACGGATAAGAGTAGGATCTATGTTATTCCAGGCATCAAGTACCCATTGAGCAATTAAATTGTATGCAGGACGTTTAATACGGCCTTTTTTGGTAAAGGTATGAACTTCATCAGCCATCCACTCATTATAGTAATTTCGCACCTGTAAAAAAAATAAATTTATTATTCTTTAAACCGTTAATTTAACCTTAAATAAACTATAAATTACAATCCAATATAATTTTGATAATTTAATTATAAAACTTCTAGGCAAATTTGTCTCAGAACGGTTTAAGGGATAATAAATTTATGTAAGTACTTTACCCTTGACTTAAATGACTTGTTAATGGCAACGTCTAATGGTTGAACTTTTGAGGTTAATCCTGCTGGAATTACAGCTAAATTAGTATTTTTTTCAGAGAAGCGGTGTTTGACTATGTCTGTAGTATGTGCAGAGAATGCATCTAAAACCAAAAGTGAGCGTGGGTCTATTGATGTTCTTAACCGCAAATTCCACACGTTCTCTATCCACCAGAGCATCTCATCTTCATTCATCCAACCTTTAGGATTTGCACGAACAAAAACTCCAGCAGGAAATACTTGTCGTGGAACATTAACTAACTTGAAAATAATAACCGGAGGCAGCTTAGTTCCATTTGCTAAACAGGAAAGTACAACAGTAAAGTATGATTTCTCATGTCCACAAGTCCGGATCGAAACTGTATTTGTGCCACAATTATCGATAGTAGTATTACTAGGAAGATCAAATGATAGTGGCGTTTCATCCATGTTACCCATTAAAGTAAGAGGATAGTTAAATTGCATTCGATAATACAACACTAAGCTTAAAAATTCTTGCTGCTGTGACTGTAAATCTTCTGGAAGTTTTTGAGCTATAGTTGTTCGACGCCGATGACTTAATTTATAACGAATCATAAAACCATCGACCCACTTATTACTAAATTTACTTTCAGCGATACTAGGATACTGAGTAATGTAAAGTGATTTTTTGGATAATGCTTTTGCCTTAATTTGGATCATGGCACGGGTTACAGGTTTTTGCTTATGACGTAATTCTTGCACCCACTTATAAACTTCATTTTCTAATTCAGGGTACTTTGGTCGCTTTCCTTTGTTCATTCGTTTGATATGGGGTGAAACATTCATCAACTTATTTTTTTTGCTACGCCAGTCTCTTATTTGTTTTGGCTCAATATTAAATTTACTAGCTGTTGCTCGAACACTCTGATTTGGGTTTTTTTCAAGATATGTAAGAATAGCAAGTTTCTCGCGTGCATTCCATTGTCGTCTTGCTTTATTAGTTATTCGGGCATGACCAGAATTCTTATTTCCACGTATACGTGTCATTATTATTGAAGAAAAAAGAGCTTTAATTTTTTTTTTTTTTTTTTTTTTTTTATTATATATTTAACCCCTTAATATTTATCCTTCGTCACAATTTTTTATTTCTATAAAAGTAAGTTTTACATAGGTCCCGACTTGACTCCAAAAGTCAAGTCTTTGTTAAAGTTTGGTCCCAAGTCAGGTATGGGCTTCGACTTGTGTTTGCATGTGCTTCTAGTATTTTTAGAAAATCGAATGCATGCTAAATCTAAATATACCGGTACTAAATACACGTGCAAGTATAAATCGAAGTCCCAAGTCTGACTTGGGACCGAGCTTTAACAAAGACTCGACTTTTGAAGTTGAGGACCGGACTGGACTTCTCATATTGCTAACTATAGCTATGTAAAAGACCCCCCTATTATAGTACCCCCCCTACATAGTATCCCCATATTTGTGTATCCTCCTCCATAATTAGTACCCGAGTGAGTACTATTCAAGAAATTTGATGGTTTTTGAAATAGTACCC